TCTTCTACATCGGTCTGCCATAACCATACAGTCTTCTACAACGGTCTGACACGACCATACAGTGTCTCCTATCTATTTTTTATTTTTCAGATTATTTTCTTGTTTTGTTACTCTCTCCAAACTCAAGTTGGTTAGTTCCTATCCCCCTTGAGTTTGCGGGGGCTGTTAAAACCTACCATCACCTACTCCACCTACTACACCTACCACCACCTACCACCACCTACCACTACCACCTACTCCACCTACTCCACTACATCTCCTATATAAGGAGCCCCTCACCATTTGTAATAAATAACATTCAACAATCAATATACAATTTTCTATTTCTTTTTATACATTGAATTCTAACACTCTTTTACTGTTACTGTCACTGTTGCTGTTGTTTTGTTATTGCGGTTAATATGATAGATCAGATCTTGGTGGACTTTATGTAATATTATGTACTCAAAACTGTTGACATGTGAGTGCATTGTCGTCTTTAATAAATATATGCAGGACTCATGCCTCTGTATCTAATCATAAAAAAAAAAAAAATTTAAATGAGAAATCTGTTTATGAATATCATTTTCATTTTGATGACTTAATTTAGTGCATGATGATCAACCAAGAATTGGATGCTTAACATTTTCTTTAAGAGATTATTATACTTCTGGCTCCTAAACACATGGCTACTAGATGTTTTGTACCATTTGGTTCGCATCATTTTCTTTAAGCTATATTACTAACAATATTGCATGTTGAATTGATAGTGAGGTTCTCAATTCCATGAGTTCAAAGATGTTAGAGCTGAACTTGATGATTGTGAAGATGGTTTTTGAGAGCTTTGGAATGGAAAAATACTATGAATTGCATGCAGAGAACAACAGTGGCACTCTTCGCATGATCAAGTACAAGGTTGTTCCTCCCATCACCGACTCGCCCACTGTTGGTGTTCCCTCCCACACTGAAAAATTTCTTGACCATTTTGTGTCAAAATGAAGTGCTAGTTCTTGAGCTTCAATCTAAAGAAGGCAATTGGGATCAAGTCATGATTCCAATGGGATCCTTCATTGTCTTTGTGGGTAATTCGCATAAGGTGAGTAATTTTAATTATCATAAAAAGTACACAATATAAGGCTGGTAAGAAGAATGAAATGTTGTCAGTACTGCATTATGCATGTGTTTTTTTAAAGGGCAAATTACACATATTGTTGCTATAATTTGTTGCTTGCGTCAATTTAGTCCTTAGTTTTTAAATTGCATTAATTTTAATCTTTAATTTTTCACTTTGTGATGATATGCCTCTTTAGAAATTGGACTGAAAATAAGGAACAAAATAGTCCATGTACTCATCTCAAACTGATTGAAGGGTTGCATCCAATTCAAAATGGTCCCTTCACTTAATTTCTATCAAATTTCTTATGATATCAAATAACAGGACGGACATAATTTATCCGAAAAATTACTTGCTAATTAAAATTCTATTTCTTGTTTAGTTCTTTAAATGCACTTGAGTTGCCACTCTTCAACATTGTCAATGTTTTCAGGCTCCTAACAAATATGAGATTGAAATTGGTGCTAGGCATGGAAATGGAAAGCCTTCACGCACCGAAACACAGGGTGATGATGAGTGGCAATGAAGTTAGGTATTCTGTTTTTGCTCCCAAAGGAAGAGGTAGCCATTGAAGTCCCTCAAGAGCTTGTCTACAAAGACCATCCTCTGATCTACAAGCCTTTCCATCACTCAGATTACATTTCATTCTTCTCTTCCAACCATGGCGTCGAAGATCCAATCGAATAATACACGAGTGCTTGATCTATCTATCTATCTGTCTAACTATCAAGAATTGGTGTGTTTGTAATAAGGTTCTGATCATTCTCTCATTTTGTGTGTTGAGTGTTGTGTCATACTAACTTTGGAACTATGTCATGAAAGCAATTATCCTATATCTCTTTATTATCTAATAAATAAATTCGGTAGAGAAATGATATTTATTACCTCATTTAATTCGGACTGAGATTTTTTCCAATATCTTTTAATATACAACTTATTGAAAAAAAAATCCAATGGTGACAAACCAAAAGGATGGAAAAAGATTTATTAGAAAGAGACTCTTTTGAATGAATAATTGATCTTCTAGTGTTCATCAAGTCCAACAACACATTTCCAATTAGAAACCTACGAAAGAGAAGCCATTTTCTTAATTATATAAAGTTATCATACTTTTGAGTAGGGCTACACAAATTAACAAATTTTATAATTTTTTTATATTTATAAAATAAAGTATATAATAAATTTGAGACCTCTTATACATACATACACTGGCAATGAATGATACAATTATAGTGGTAAATGGAATTTTGTGTAAGAAAAATATTGATTCATGCATGTCACAATAAATAGCATTATCTAGTTTCAATTAGACCATTGCACCAATCAAATGAATACAAATCACTTTTAATCGAGCCAATAATAAACGGACCTTAAAATAATTTGGCATTTTATAATGCACAAAAATTTATTAAATTGGATACTATGTCATTTAAATTTGTTTTAAAACATTAATGAGAGTTTAAAAATATATTCAAACTCGACTTAGGTCTCGTTTGGGAACCCTCCATTTTAGCCAAAAAGTCGAAAGCCAAAAAGTCAACAACCCATACTAAAAAGTCATAGATTCTCCTTTCTCTCTACTTTTTGCACATCTTTTCGTAAAAAGTTAAAAAGTCATCCCAAACATACTAATTTTTTTTACCTCATATTTTAACCAAATAGTCAAAAAGTTACTAAATTAGCCTGTTCCAAAACGAGGCCTTATCTATATAGAAATCAATCTCAATTGAGCCAAACACTGATGAAACACCGGTTATTCCTAACCATCCAAACTTGGCAATGCTTGGAGATATACTGATGTCTGGCGATGATGACATTGAAATGTCTGGGAGGATCGTGTAATTGTTTGTACAAGTAGGTCGGGGCGTTGTTTGTAGTATAGTATGAAAACAAGTATATTCCCAATGTTTTTGCATGGGGTAAATTACAAATACACACCCCTGAGATTTATTTAAATTATAAATTATCTCTTGTGGTTCTAGAAATTACATTATACTCCATAAAGTTTCTAAATTCATAACAAATAGGTCATTTCATTGATAAATCATGAGGAGGACCGACTGCGAAGGGTGGCCGAGTGGATGGGCCGACCATGAGAAGGACCGACCGCGAAGGGTGGCCGAGTGGATGGGCCGACCATGAGGAGGACCGACCGCGAAGGGTGGCCGAGTGAAATGGGCCGACCATGAGGAGGACCGACTGCGAAGGGTGGCCGAGGGGGAGGTTGAGGTGGGAGGGTGCAGGCTCAAGAGGCGGCATGTCACGTGATGACATGAAATGGAAAAGACAAGGTAAGGGGAGGTGGCAGTGAATCGTGATCGTACACGTGGCAACATCTCGTGGAAAGGGAGATTAGGCGATAGGCCAGAAATGAAACGATAGGTCATGGTGGGTGTTGAAAAGACAGTTTTGGCGGATGTTTTTGAAAAGTTTTCAAACTGGCGAAAATTAATTGTGACCCTTGGAATACGGGCAAGCCTTGGGCTTTTGGTATTATTCGATTTACCTACTTCTTTGCAAAAAATCAAAACATTCCAAGTGTTAACTCCTTTATTGCTGACGATACACCTCTGCAACATTTCTTGAATTTTCTTACACCCGCTTCGGAAGCTATTCGTAGGCACACCACAGAGATGGCTCAAGAAGAAGCTGGAACCGCCAGGGTTGATCCGTTTGGGGATGACGACGCAGTGGAGTTGGCGGAGCAGTACCGGACGGAGAGACAAGTGGAGAGAGTAGGGGAGACGGTGGTACAATCCCATTCTTCCACCATGATAGCGGCTCCGAAGCCAATCAGCCAGGCGGAATCAGATCACTGGCATACGAAGGCTGACAAATCAACGGTTACTGCGGTGGACTTGGAGGTTATGCGCGAAAAATACTAGGTTCCCGCTGAAATAGAGTTACTGTTGCCGTCGTCAACGGAGAGGCCATCTGACGCCCGACCGGGGGATTTTGCCCTGTACGAGGAAGCATTGAAAGGAGGACTGAGGCTGCCGCTTCCGCAAGTGGTAGTTGATGTCCTAAATCGGTTGGAGGTAGCGCCGGGGCAACTAATGCCCAACGCGTGAAAGATTGTGTTACCCAGTGCAAGGGCGTGGCTGAAGGCGACTGAAGGGGCGGCTATGACGGTGGACGAATTTTTCACGTGTTATAAGGCCTTAGGACAGCAAGAGACTTGGGTGACGTTGCAGGCGGCGGCAGGGAGGGGTCTGGTGACGGGGCTGCCGTCATCCATTAAGGTTTGGAGGCCGCGGTGGTTTTACGTGTCCGCGAATGGAGGGGTTGGGGTGCGTGCAGTGTGGAGAGTGCCCACCAAATCTGTGGAGCTAAAACTGGGGGCGGCAGTAGAGGAGAGGATAAAAAAGGTGAAGGCATGGAGGGAGAATGAGGGAGTCAGGTGGGACGAATTCGTTCAACCTTCAGCCTTGTTTGCAGTGGGATTGGGCCCTCAGCCGAGCGTTGGAGATCTGGGACGGGCTGAACTAGAGGCGAGGAGGAAAGCGCAAGAGGCTGAGGATATGGCCATCCTTGCCAAAGCTAGTAAGTTCAAAGAGTCCCAGGCAGACCGACCGCCAAAACCGATCGCGAGGGAGAGGATCCGACCTCGCCCCAAACCCTTGGGGGGAAAAAGACTTAGGTGGATTTGAGCCACGACCGCCCCTAGTTGATCCTTTGAAGGAGAGGGCCTACAAGGAGATGGAGGTGGAGGTGGAGGGTGTGGTGAAGAAGAAGAGGAGAGTGGGGAGGAGTGAAGAAGAGCCTGCCTTAAAGAGGAGGAAGGAGATGACGGCAGAGGAGACCCCCATGGCCAAGGAGGCAGGGGAGGAGGGGGTGGGGGAGATCCCAGGAAGGGTGGTTGCCCCAGAAGTGGTGGAGGTTGCCTCAGAGGTTATGGAAGTCGTCCCAGTAATGGCGGAGATCGCCTAAAAAATTCAAGTAGAAGGTGAGGCAACTGGCCCTGAGCCGAGGGGAAAGGAACAGCCCCAGGGGGGTCCTGTGTCCCAAGGAGGAGGGATGGTCAGGCTAACGACTGCGATCTACTATGCCCGCACGGTGTCTGGGCGACTGGAGGGAGAAGAAGGCCCAGCCAGGGCAGCTGCAGATCGCCTTGTTGGGATCGTGGACGAGGCGGCTGTGTGCTCGGCAGCCAGGTTCAATGAGGCTGAGCTGCTAAGGGGGTTGTGCTCTGCCCAAATGGAGGTAACCACCTTAGCTGGGGCTCTGCTGAGAAAGGCAGCGGCTGCAAAGGTCAAGTCGGATGAGGCCAAGGCTTAACTTGCAAACTTCAAAAGGGAGAGTGCAGGGTGGAAAAAGACTACGCGAAGTGCGTGCTCCAGAGGTTGATAGGAAGCTGAAAAAGCTAAAAAGATGCAAGTGTTGGCCATTGTTCACCGCAATGTTGCCGACCGAGCCCAAGCTGAGCTGATCGCGGTCAAGTTGGAGCTAGAAGATGAACACCGCCAGGTTGTGTCGCTCGAGTTCCAGCTGGCTGGCAAGCAAAAGAAGCTGGGGAATGCTCAAAGGGCCTGCGCGGTCGCCATTGAGCGGCATGAAGAGGCTATGACCAGCAATAAAGAACTGCGCACCCAGCAAATCAAAGAAAAGGATGAAGCAGACGTCAAGATTGCTGGGCTACAGAAGGAGTTGGAGGAAGAAAGGACCATGGCAGCCTCTGAAAGGGCAGCATACCCCGATCTGTATGTCGCAGCAATAGAACAATTCAAGGGGTCTGCTGAATTTCAGATGGCGATCGATGCCGTGGTCGCCAGCAGCGTGGCGAGGGAGGTGTCTGGAGGGGTGGGCCCGTCTGGAACGACCGTTGGGGGCAGGACCGAGGCAGAAGCAAGGTTCTGAAAAACAGTTGCGGTCGCCATAACGGTAGCGGTGGAGCAGTTGCGGTTGCGGGGTGTAAAGGTCGTAGCGTAACGGTTGCGGTAACCGGAACCGTGAATTTTTTTATTTTTCGCACAATTTGAAAAAAACTTACCGATACGCACATTTTTTTTCCATGATCATATTTATTGGGTTTTAAAATAAATATTGATCAATTTTTATAAATTTTTAAGTTTGATCCAATATATTTCATATTTTTAAATCACTATAAACTGAGTTTTTTACATTTTATTTTAATAATTAATGACTTTATATTATACAAAAAATCAATCACTAACTATTATATATAAGATAAACAATGACAAAAGTAAGAGAATAAATAAAAGCCTAAATATATATATATATATATTAATCAGGCCAAATAAATAATGATCACACTTATTATTATTATTATTATTATTATTATTATTATTAAATAATATATAGATAGACACACACAAACAAAATGGTTGAGTGATAGCGGCTGAATAGAATAACATAGGTCTTACAACTTTAATAAATCAATAACATGTTCTTTATCTTCCCTCTTCTGTCTCTCTCTATTTCCTCCAACTTCCCTCTATCTCCTCCAACTTCCCTCTATCTCTCTTCCCCCATTTTCATTTTTTTTTTTTGTGTTTTTTCGAAAGAAGCAATTCGGAACCGTTACTTAACGGTGCGTAACAGGCTGTTACGGCACCGTTACGACCGCTATAGCAGCTGCTACGGCCGATACACCTGTGAATCTTAATCACATTGCAAAAGCGACCGTAACGGGTAGCGGTAACTACCAGAACCGTTACGTAACGGCGTTACGTAATGGTTGCGGCCGCTTTTTAAAACCTTGGGCAGAAGTGATTGAGAGTTTCCAGCGGTCAGACTTCTGTAAACACGAAATGGCTGAGTTCTGGGACAGTGACTGGAAGATGTTCAAGCGTAAAGCTGAAGAACTGTTCCCAGGCTTAGACTTCAGTAG